TTTAAAAATACTGTACTACTATACAGTGGGGAGAAAGTCTTTTCATGCCACTTAGAGGGTAACACTGAAAACACACAAATCTTTTCAAAACACATGGTTGGGGACAGCTTTAAAGTTGTACATGGTGTTACAGTTCAGTAAGATTTTCATGGGCAATCTCAGTGACAGTGTACTCTTGTCCAAAAATGGTTGTGGAATTTATTTTCTTCTTTTAAAATGAGCTTCGATTACATACAGTAGCACCCCAATCTAACCTACTGCTGTTTCAATGTAACCCCCCCCAAAAAAAGGGAGGGGGAGATGAAAATAGCATGGTGTTCCCCTTAAAATTCTACTCAGACCCCTACCAGGCATGCAGCCTGGGTGACCAAGCAAGGAAGGCAGTGTGGGTATGGAACAAAACTTCTAACACTTCCTCTACCTAAAATTAAAAAGTTTAATTTTAAAGTTAGAAAAAGTTTTCTAGAGTTCCATTTATCTTGGTATTATTCCAGTATGGATTTCCCTTAAACTGTACACAAACTGATCAGATTATCACACAAAAAACATACAATACGCTGCTATTAACAATGTGTATGCTGTACCTACCTCTACCTGGACAACAGCTGATGGCTGTAATGAATTTCCTCCATGATTCAGACAGTGATTTGATCATATAGTTTATCAATGAACATAAATGAAGGAATTTGGTCACATGTAGTAAGCTCTGCTGGTAATCATGAGCTTAGTGCTGCTCTCATTTTGGTTTCACTAATTGGTTTAGCTTGTGAGCACAAGCAAATCCTACACAAATTCCTTAGTATCTCTGTTGGATGCCATTGCTCTTTGCTTCAGACATTGTTGTATCCTGGGGCCACCTTGTATATAAAAGAGCTATTATCAGCCTTCAGGGATATACATGTAAAACTTGCCATACCTTAACAAAGTTGGCATTTCAATAGATGTACAGCAGAAGTTGACACAGATTAACTCAATAAATATTTGAAACAAAGCCTCAACCATCATGCCATATTGACAGCATACCTCCCAACTTTTGAACTTCAGAATGAGGGATACTTGAGGGAGGAAGTGACCTGTGGGGTGCATAGCACACCATGATAAAAATGGGTGTGGTCAAATGCTTAACAGTGGGGGTGGGGGGCTAGGGGGTGTGGTTAAACAAAACCTTGTACGAATAAAATATGTTTTGATTGCAGTGTCAGAAGCAAGAGTCTCACAGACATACTACCCAGCACAATCATTTTAAAAAAAGCTTTGATTACAAACGGTTTTGCACAAACTGTGAAAGAGTGCATTACACAAAGTGTGGAAGGATTCAGGAATGCATTATGCACAGAGTGCAGGATTCAGGAGTGCATTTTATACAGAGTGCAGGATTCAGGAGTGCGTTTCGTACAGAGTGCAGGATTCAGGAGTGTGTTTCGTACAGAGTGCAGGATTCAGGAGTGTGTTTCGTACAGAGTGCAGGATTCAGGAGTGCATTTTATACAGAGTGCAGGATTCAGGAGTGCGTTTTATACAGAGTGCAGGATTCAGGAGTGCGTTTCGTACAGAGTGCAGGATTTAGGAGTGCGTTTCGTACAGAGTGCAGGATTCAGGAGTGCGTTCCGTACAGAGTGCAGGATTCAGGAGTGCGTTTCGTACAGAGTTTAGGATTCAGGAATGCGATATATACAGAGTGCAGGATTCAGGAGTGCATTTCGTACAGAGTTCAGGATTCAGGAATGCGATATGTACAGAATGGAAGGTTCAGAAGTTACTTAAACCACAAAGACACCAATTAGACATACACTTACATTCTAAAATCTTGATTAACTGCATACATAAGCCAAGCCAAGAATGCAGGCATCAGATGGATAACAAATGAGTGCAGCTGAGCAGTGTGAACATCCAGCACAGCCAGGGATTGGCGAACAAGCTGGCAGGGGTATGGCTGCAATGAGTGAGTGTGCAGTTGTCCAACCTGTGATGTCAGGGATGGGCGGGGCTAATATGAGTTTCAGGGGCTCCGCCCCCTTTTAAAATCAATCCATCCATAGGGAAACAGCTAGCATTTATACATTGCCAACCAGGAAAAAGGTGACAAGAGGCAGGACCAATTGGAACTACTGCATCTGCAGCGGCGTATAAATCAGGATTGTTATACACCACTGCAGGTGTACATGCAATAGTTCCAATTGGTCCTGCTGCTTGTCACCATCTTCCCTGGCTGGCAATGTACAAATGCTGGCAGCTTGACTATACAGTGCTTGCTTGACAAAGGGGGCAGAGCCCCTGAAACGCATATCAGCCCCGCCCATCCCCGACAACACAGGTTGGAGTTGACAGCTGCATGCTCTCTCTCCTTGATGCTGTAAGCTCTGCTGGCTTGCCTGCCAATCCCTGGCTGTGCTAGATGTACACACTGTCCACACTGCTGCAGGTTGTGCTTGGCTGGAAGTTAGCATATAAAGAATAGATAAGAGTAGTGTGGAACAAAGCCCCTGTACACCGGGACCATGGGACAAAGCTGACAATGCGGGAAAGTCTCGCCCAATCCGGGACTGATGGGAGGAATCTAGCAGTGAGCAATGCAAATAGGCACTGGTGCAGTTTCCTGCATTATTTGGGGCAGAGCTATACTTATTCCAACCCAAAACTGGCTTGGGATACAAATCAGTGAAGTGTCTGAAAAAAGACATTTTGTACAGTTTTGAGTCTGGTGTGTCTCGGCAGAAGTGAAAATCACACCTAGTCTTTCTAAAAATATTATAAGTATTATGAGGCAACTAAATTTATACAACTGTGCAATATGAATTGTCATAGGGGTTTACAATACACGTGAACTTTTGTTAGGCTGCATAGCCAAGACTCCCACACGCACCACACCTGCCCTCACCATTGTGGTTATACTTTTTAACCATTTTAAATCCATTGTACACTTTCAAATTTTTTGTTTTAACTATACATTAATGTAGTTATATTCCCTATGTTGTTTTCCTTATCTTGTAATGATGGGCTCACATGTTGTGGTTGCAGTTTGTAGTGTTATAGCTGATCGATTCCCCAATGTCCATGTATTCATTTACCTAGCTTGTCCCTATTTGACAAAGGGAGTCAACTTCTTGTTCTAGATTACACAGCATCCAATTAATGCCTCGCCATTTCTCAACATTTTCAAATGTGGGAGTGCTAAAGTGATGAAAACACATCTCTTCCCTTTATTGCTCAGCATATTTGCCTGTGTCATATATACACTCACCCACTTTATTAGGTACACCTGTTCAATTGCTTGGTAACACAAATTGCTAATCAGCCAGTCACATGGTAGCAACTCAATGCATTTAGAAGTCTAGACATGGTGAAGATGACTTGCTGATGTTCAAACTGTGCATCAGAATGGGGAAGAAAGGAGATTTAAGTGACTTTGAACATGGCATGGTTGTTGGTACCAGAAGGGCTGGTCTGAGTATTTCAAACACTGCTGATCTACTGGGATTCTCATGCTCAGCTATCTCTAGGGTTTACAGAGAATGTTCCAAAAAATAGAAAATATCCAGTGAGCAGCCGTTTTGTGGACGAAAATGCCTTGTTAATGTCAGAGGTCCAAGGAGAATGGGCAGACTGGTTCGAGATGATAGAAAGACAACAGCAACTCATGTCAGTATGGACCAAAATCTCTGAGGAATGTTTCCAAGGACTTGTTGAATCTATTCCTTGAAGAATTAATGCAGTTCTGAATGCAAAAGGAGTTTGAACCTGGTACTAGCAAGGTGTACCTAATAAAGTGGCCGGTGAGTGTAATTACTGCACCTGCACCAAGGTTAGATGGAGAGACCCAGGGGTTGTGGGATATGTAGTTTCTTTACAGAAACTGTCAGGTCTTAGACTAAAGACAGAGGTCATGCATTAATGTGTGTAGTGCCATGCCACATGCCTCGTGTTTCAACACAAACAAAAATTGGTGACAAAGGAATGTGAAGATTTACTCTACTATGGACTGTCCAGAGAGGCAACCAAATGACAGCATGAAGCTACACGTTCAATAAACATCTTATGTAGGTGAAAAATACAAGATACCAATAGGAAGGTGTGTAAAATGGCAGTTTACAGCCCAACTCCATAGTTTGTTTGTTTTTTTTTTGGATAGCACTAGAATGAATTGTAACCTCAAATCCTATTAGCATATAGGTTACACATGTAACAAAAAGTTATTTAACACAAAGATAATCTCTATAAAAAAAAAAATCCAAGCAAAAGGAATTTATTGTAGCTTAGGACAACACTGTGGCCTCGTCACCCTGAGTTCAATTTTAACCAAGGACAATAATTGCATTAAAATAGGAGTATGGAAATAGAAAACGACAAACATCCATACTCAACTCTGTGCTGCAGCTGTCCTTTATCAGCTCTAAGCCAGGGAACTGATCAATCACATGACCACTGATCACTCAGTTCTCTGTCTGCTCAGAGCTAAGAGTGATGACTGTCAGTCGCCACTCTCTGCTCTGCCCTTTCAGCACCCACTGGAGTTCTGGGTTGGGAAGGGGGTGGGCACAGCTGGCTCCGACTCCTATTGGCACACTGATGTTGAACAAGCATCTGTGAGGATCCAGACAATATGGTTAAGGTCAGGGGCGGACTGACCATTTGGAAACTCGGGCACTGCCCGAGGGCCCGGGGTCAGTAGGGGGCCCCATGAGATGCCCCTGGTACCTTTTTCATAGGCTTTTTTGAGTTTGAGCAAGAACACAGGGGCCCCATGATCCCCTATTGCCCGGGGGCCCCATGAGTTGTCAGTCTGCCCCTGGTTGGGATCCTTTCAGAGCCTGGAGTGGCTCTGGATGTTAGTTGACAGCAGGCTTTAGTCAGCTATTGGCTTATTCTGGATCACAGGAGAGCAATAGTAAGTGCATTTATGCGACCCAGAAGAGAAGTATGGCCAAAAAAGATTTGGCCATACTTTTCTTTTAAGTTGGTATTTCTCCAGGTGTTTATGCCACAATTCAGCAGGTGTTCACCTCTCCTTCCATGACCATAAAACATACTGACGGCTATATTGGTAGTGGTTTCCATGAAAACTTGACCTACTCCATGACCATGATAAGGACATGTAAGCATGCTGGATGGAATGGACTGATGTAATAGTTTTGAATGTACTTTGTAAAGTATTGTGTAAAGTAATCTAAATAGATTTATATTCATCATCAACACAAATTCTCTCATCTCAGATATATGTCTCAATTCACAATGCTAGCACTGTAGCACACCAGGATAAGGATACATTTGCTAAAAAAAAAAAAAAAAGCAATTGTCATTCAAGTCCAATGAGATTTAAAATATAAAATCATGTAACTAAAAGAATGATTATTCTTGTGTAAAGCTTTGTGAATTAAGCCCATTTTGTGTTAAAGTAGCAAAATAATATACGGCATATATGAAGATTACATTATAATCTATCTCCTGCAATAAATAAATTTCAGAACCATCACTCTAAACAAATTATATATTTTTGTAAAAATGCCTGGCGTTTCATTCTTAAACATTTTAATATTTGATCATTTTCTGTGTACAAACAGTTGTTGGGTGATTAGAAGCAGAACTAGATGGTGGAGAGGGGGAAAGCACCTGAAATAATTTGCAATACATGCAACATTATAACAGACTTACCTTCTGGGTTTAATCATTTTCCTCAATTAAGCATTTTGCTCCTCTCATTGATCCACAGCCACTGGTGCCATCTTACATAAAGCTTCTTTTGTTAGCATATTTCCTGTTTAACAATAGACCACTTTTTGATTTCCCATGCATGAGCGATTGAGTTGCAGCATCCAGCCAAAAGGATCCATTGGGTTAGCAGGAGTGTAGGCAGGGTGTTGAAATATTTTACTAGTGTGATTTTTACTGTATATGTTGTAAGTTAGGAGTAGGCTGTTTCTCCTACACCACTGCTGTTTAGCAGGTTCTTTTTCTTGTACTATATATGCCTACTGTAATTGTTGACTGATTTACATTGTAACTGCCCATTGTACTGTTGTATCTGCTACTTTTAATGGCAGCAGTTATGAAGTGTTGGGGCTCCCTTACTCTATAGGACTTCCCAGCTGAGGTTCCTCTTCCAAGCACTCTACAAATGCCAAATGCTGTATAATAGCGAGCACTGAACCATTAATATAAATATAAAGTGCAGCGCTATAATAGTGACAAACATGGAATGAATAAAAAAATAATAAATAAAATTTATAAGTACGTCAAAAAAAGGGGAAAAAAACCCCCAAGCCAAAAAAAGTCCCAGTAAAGATGACTTCAGGTGCCCATACACACTGACCAGAGGTGCATGCACTTGGCAGAGATGGAGTTCAGGATGTAGTCAGGGAACAGAGGTAGATGCAATCCCCGGATCAGTGAAGATCCCCAGACCAAAGTAGCACACGTTCCACTAGACAGCAAGGAAGCAATCACAGCTCCACCAGAGAAAAACCACCACTCCTCCACTTCACATCAGCGATATCTAGGAGGAGATACTAGTTTACTGCTTAGCTTTCATGGTCTGCTAGCCGTGTGCTTATTTTTATCACTTCTGGATGCATCCTGTTTTACATCAATAAACGTATTATTTTGTACCTTACCATGGGCATTTCTTTTGATTCCTCTGTGGGGAGTATCTCCTCCTAGATATCGCTGATGTGAAGTGGAGGAGTGGTGGTTTTCTCCGGTGGAGCTGTGATTGCTTCCTTGCTGTCTAGTGGAACGTGTGCTACTTTGGTCTGGGGATCTTCACTGATCCGGGGATTGCATCTACCTCTGTTCCCTGACTACATCCTGAACTCCATCTCTGCCACAGTGCATGACACTCTGGTCAGTGTGTATGGGCACCTGAAGTCATCTTTACTGGGACTTTTTTTGGCTTGGGGTTTTTTTTCCCCTTTTTTTGACGTACTTATAAACTTTATTTATTATTTTTTTTATTCATTCCATGTTTGTCACTATTATAGCGCTGCACTTTATATTTATATTCATGTGAGGAATTTTTTTTGGGTTGTCCTATGTGTTTCAGCTGCTTGTCCACCCAAAGCGCTCACTTCTTCCTTTGATTCACTGAACCATTAATGCCAATATTTCTCTAAAGCTTCTAGAGAAATCTAGTTGTTGGCAGAAGCCTATCAAAAACACCTTCAAAGAAATTCAACAAAGTGCTTAAAACACATTTTTGTGGTTTTTTTTTCTCTCTTTTATAACTACCTGTACCTAACTCTGGCAAGCAATTGTTCTAGTTTTAGTAGCACTATCGGCAGCAAAGTCAGGTAGTCCTAACTATGGCCCCGTAAAGAACCTGTGGCTATGACAGCAACTGAATCTTGCAGAATTATTGCCAGTTTGCAGATGAGGAAACTGGCAGTAATTAAGGCCAGCTTTGAGCTAGAATACGGAGGAGTACTCAGAGTGGGTCATGGCTGTGCTAGGAAGCTGTCGTGTATGTGACAGCTTCCAGCACAGTGCTGTATCTCTGACCCCATTCAGCTGTCGGCCAGGAGATACCCCAGTCAAAAGCTAAACATAAGCAAAGGTGCCAGGATAGTGGTGATGTCACTGGGTTGGTAGAGCCTGAAGGGGAACTGAGAGAGACTAGTTCCCCATCAGGTCCTCCTTACCTCTGATTGACAGCTCATGGCAGTGGGTGGATTCGAAAGCCACTGCTGGACTTAATATTCAGTTATTATTTATTACAGTTACTTATATTGTGTCATTAATTTACATATACAGTCATGGCCGAAATTGTTGGCACCCTTGATATTTTTCCTGAAAATCAAGTATTTCACACAAAAAAGGTATTGCATTAACACATGTTTTGCTATACACATGTTTATTCCCTTTGTATGTATTGGAACAAATATAAAACAGAGGCAGAAAAGCAAATATGACATAATGTCACACAAAACCCCAAAAATGGGCTGGACAAAAGTATTGGCACCCTTAACTTAATATTTGGTTGCACACCCTTTGGAAAACATAACTGAAATCAGTCGCTTCCTATAACCATCAATAAGCTTCTGACACCTCTCACCCGGAATTTTGGACCACTCTTCCTTTGCAAACAGCTCCAGGTCTCTCTTATTGGAAGGACACCTTTTCCCAACAGCAATTTTAAGATCTCTCCACAGGTGTTCAATGGGATTTAGATCTGGGCTCATTGCTGGCCACTTCAGAACTCTCCAGCGCTTCTTTGCCATCCATTTCTGAGTGCTTTTTGACGTATGTTTGGGGTCATTGTCCTGCTGGAAGACCCAGGATCTTGGACGCAAACCCAGCTTTCTGACACTGGGCCCTACAGTGCGACCCAAAATCCTTTGGTAATCCTCAGATTTCATGATGCCTTGCACACAGTCAAGGCACCCAGTGCCAGAGGCAGCAAAACAACCCCAAAACATCATTGAACCTCCACCATATTTTACCGTAGGTACTGTGTTTTTGTTCTTTGTAGGCCTCATTCCGTTTTCGGTAAACAGTAGAATGATGTGCTTTACCGAAAAGCTCTATCTTGGTCTCATCTGTCCACAAGACGTTTTCCCAGAAGGCTTTTGGCTTACTCAAGTACATTTTGGCAAACTGTAGTCTTGCTTTTTTATGTCTCTGTGTCAGCAGTGGGGTCCTCCTGGTCTCCTGCCATAGCGTTTCATTTCATTTAAATGTCGACGGATAGTTCGCGCTGACACTGATGCTCCCTGAGCCTGCAGGACAGCTTGAATGTCTTTGGAACATGTTTGGGGCTGCTTATCCACCATCCGGACTATTCTGCGTTGCAATCTTTCATCAATTTTCCTCATCCGTCCACGACCAGGGAGATTAGCTACAGTGCCATGGGTTGCAAACTTCTTGATAATGTTGCGCACTGTGGACAAAGGCAAATCTAGTTCTCTGGAGATGGACTTGTAACCTTGAGATTGTTGATATTTTGCCACAATTTTGGTTCTCAGGTCCTCAGACAGTTCTCGTCTCCTCTTTCTGTTGTCCATGCTTAGTGTGGCACAGACAGACACACAATGCAAAGGTTAAGTGAACGTCTCTCCTTTTTATCTGCTTTCAGGTGTGATTTCTATATTGCCCACACCTGTTACTTGCCCCAGGTGAGTTTACAGGAGCATCACATGCTTGTAACATTCTTATTTATCCGCAGTTGTGAAAGGGTGCCAATACTTTTGTCCAGCCCATTTTTGGAGGTTTGTGTGACATTATGTCGAATTTGCTTTCTTTCCTCCCTTTTTTTGTTTTGTCCCAATACACACAAAGGGAATAAACATGTGTATAGCAAAACATGTGTTAATGCAATACGTTTCGTGAGAAATACATGATTTCCTGGAGAAATATCAAGGGTGCCAACAATTTCGGCCATGACTGTATATTGTACATTCACATTCAGTCCCTGCCCTCAAGGAGCGTACAATCTAAGGTCTCTAACTCACATTCCTACATACACGTACTAGGACCAATTTAGACAGGATCCAATTAACCTACCAGCATGTTTTTGGAGTGTGGGGGAAAAACGGAGTACCCGGAGGAAACCCATGCAGGCACAGGGAGAACATGCAAATTCCAGGCAGGTAGTGCCATGGGTGGGATTTGAACCGGCAACTCTAGTTCCGCCAGACAGATGTGCTAACTGTGCTAACCCAATATCAGACATGGATCCACCCACTGCTATGTGCTGTCAATCAAAAAGTAAGGAGGACCTGAAGGGAAGCTGGCCTCTCAGATCTCCTTCAGGCTTCCCCCTTCACAAAACTCTGTTAGCCATTTGAGGAAAGAGTGTCCAGTATGGATATTCCAACTTAGGTACATGAATCAGTAGGAGCCTGGCACCAATCTCTGACAGGTATGCAAAATGAGCACAAGCACAGACTCTTTGGATGTATTAAAGCAAATGAAAGTGTTGTGCTGCTAGCATAAATCAATACATGTAAATATAAGAACAAAAACTTTTCGATGCACTGCCCAACAGAATTCAAAAGAGTGTCTATGAGACCACAATGGGGGTAGAAGAGAATAAAGACTGAGGCCTTATTATACTTGAACAAATAAGCGGTTATTCAAAAGCTGACCTGCAGGTGAAGTCATG